ATGGGTATTTAGCTGTTTATGACTTCGGGCCCGCAGTAATATCGCCCGCTGTAGTTCATGATGCAAAATTCAATTCAGATTGGTCAACAGTATTCAAACGTATGAATCGGCAATTCAGATTGGTCAACAGTATTCAAAAGTATGAATCGGCCGGTTGTTCAGAGGACCCGTATGTGTCAACATTACGAAGACCCACTGGTGACCGGCAGCCAACCCCGATTGGGCTAGTCTGTTGAAAGGAAAAATTCAACCAGCCGTACGGCCCATACTGTCAGCCAACCCGTCTGTTCCGGAACCATTTCATGGCATGGTCTAGTCTAGTCTACAGTATATCTTCCATGTGCTCCTCCACCAGTGAAATATGCACAACAAAAATCAGTCGCGTCGACCCCAGTTCGAGGGGCTAGCGTGCCAGGAAGGGCCATGTTCAACACCAACAGAGTTTTCTTTGCTCTGGCAGCAGTGATCGCAGCGCCACTGGCATAGTCCGCCAACTGATCGACGCAAGACTTTCCGGCCGGCTCTGAGGCGCTCGGGGTTTGTTCCGAAACGGCACAACCCGCGATCTTCGCAACAAAAAGAAAGGGTTTACTATGGTTTACTAAATTGGTTTATTTGGGGGTTCCCGACATATCCTGATGTCGTGAATTGTGCCCTGGTATGGAGCTCACCTGAAGCACCGGTGCAAAGATCATGTTGAAAGGGTCGGGAGCCAGTGAAATGGGAGCTGGATGGAGTTGAGTTATATATGCTAATATTAATACATGAAGGCTTGATAGAGAGCAAATGCTCTCAGGACGGTGGTCGCAGCAGGTTGCATTCATTAAAAAACTGACGCCTTCACAATCGCACGCCATTAAAAGGAGCCTCGCGCCTTCAGCTCCCGACCGCCAACGACCCACCACAACTATCTAAAACTAGCAAACCCAACGGTGTCACCCAACCTGGTCTTTACAGCAGGCTTAGTTGAACACTGAAACCACTAACCACTAACTTCCCCCACCTTCTGGTGCAACAAAGCTGGACAGCCAAGGCGCCACCAAATCTGGCGCTTCGCGATCCAACAGCTCCAACATGAACTTCCTTGGAGAGCAGGGTGAGGGTGAAGAAGTGGTCTCAAGATCTCCCTCTCTCTCTATATAAATTGTACCTTCAATTGTCACATTATGTGTGTACCGTATTTATATATATATAGAGAGAGAGATAGTAAACAAGCTCCATAGAAAATTGTAAGTCATGTTGACGTTCACATGAACCCGCCAGTAGTACAGTTTGCGCATGTTTGTGCCACCGGGTCAGAAATCGAAGGTGTAGTGGTGCTGATTTTGACAAACGCTTTAAATCCAACCTTTTCTACTCGGTGGCCATGGATGTGGATGTCATGTAGAGACCATACAACATGATGAGTTGTTGATGTGACGACAAAAGATTCTAGGGGGGGTTCATGGGAGTGGGGTGGTTTCGTTTGTGTGATTAGCAAAGCACGATGGTGATGAGTTGCTGATGTGACGACAGAAGATTCTTCTAGAACACGATGGTGATAAATGGAGCCTGGTGCTTCGAACATCAAACCGCCGTCAGTCACATCGAATTAAAGTTTGGCCACCCCACATAGTGCACAAACATCCCGCCGGGTTGGAAACTGAACGTGTAGTTGCAGGCATTGTTTAACATGAGCAAGTGACCAGTACTACAAAAAACCCTTTTGAAATCGGTGTGACTAATGCACCGAGCCTGACGGCGTTCCCCAAGAAGACCTGTGTTTTGTGGGAGAATTGACAGGTTTTGTTGTAAACAGTCCTCTCGTTTTGTGATTCGTTTTGCAGGAACAATGAGAAAAAAAAATAAAACAGGAACGAAGCCGCAAAACTCGCGCTTTTGGGCGCAACATGCCTGCTGTGTCTATTAGCGGCATTATGTTGAAGTTTATGGTGAGCATCGGGTAATTACACAAGAATTAAGGTGATTCCCTGAGAATAGGTTTGGACAATTTAGGAATATCGTTTCTACCTAGGAGGGAGCTCTACAACATGGCTAGCCGTCGCATGGCCAAGCCAACATGTTGACCACAAACATTGTGGCTTCCACGTCTACCTTCTTCATGGTTCTCGTCTTGACCAAGGCTCTCATGCTTCTTAAAGTATTCCTGAAACACAGGGCCCGTGGGATCTGGAATGGCTTTGAGCGCCTCAGTGCTAAGGCCATCCTCAAGCCCTTCGTAGTGGACATTCACGGCGCTACACAAGTCGTTCATCTGAGATAGACCTGACACGGGTCAGGTCTCCAACCTGCGGGGGGGGTTGGGGCTCGCCGGTGTCCAAATTCCACAAGATATCCAGCCTAGTTATTCCAAAGAAGCTGTGGGAGCTGGTCGTGTTGCTGTGAGCATGTTCACACCCAAATGGCCTGGTTTCAGGTATACATGTCACATCAATCTGTGTTGAGGCCAGGTCTTGATACACAAGCACATCAAGAGTATGACAGTGTGATGATCATGTTCTTCTATAACGATGCACCTACCCCATGGTATGTCATGTAACCAATGCGAACTTGATCCTCTCCTTCTCTGGCCCCATGGCTGTCCGTCGCACCTTTAGATGAGACGAAAATCATCTGGTGCCCGCGCTGGGCCATGGTCTTGGCCAAACTGAGCAAGGGCAGCGCATGGCCCATCATGGGGATGGTGTAGCATACCACTTTCCTCGAAGTGACCAGGTTTTTTGTCGCAAGAGAGCACTACGGCCCGGCCCGACAATAGCTCGATGGAAGTTGGATGAAACGAAACAAGCTCGGTAGGTCATTACATCCAAGAGTCGAATCATAGTGCCATAGCTTGTGACTCAACCCTACCTACGCACCTGCAATAGCACAAATGGAAAACATCTGGAAGCGAGCTAGACTCGACTTGTCGCTGGATTTTCGGGTTGGCCAGAACAGGCTAACATCTCGGTTGTCCAACGATGCCTCAAGAAGGGCCAAACCCGTCCTGCCCAAAAAACAAACACAAAAGCACACAATCAAGGGTGTGTGCAATTACTGTACATGTCTTCCCCCCAAAAGAAGATAAAAGCACACAATCAGGGTGCGTGCAATTACATGTCTAAAAGAATATATATATACACACGCGCAAAAAGTACGCAAATAGTTGGATAATGTGTGTTCCTGGCTAAACCCGACAAATCAAAACTTGTTGATGCTGGCCGTGGTGTTCAGCTTCACATTTCCATGAGGTGCTGCATCTGCAGAGGCCATGGGAAATCTCCTCTGTGGAGACCAACACCTCTTGCAGTAAAAGCTATGAACTGCTAGAGCCCGACATGCATAACCTTCGGCAAGTTGCATCACTCTTTCTAATCTTCAAGTGCAAAAAAGCATGTCAAAACGTTCACAAGCTTTCACCGTATACAACCCTCGAAGCTTGAACACCCTGGACGGACCAGGAACTACTAGTACCTTCGTGTTCCTAGTAATAATGTAATCACAGGAGCTAATAATATCTTCTTGTTCCTAGTAGTAGTGCTAGGAGCTACTATATAGTAGTTTCTTGTTCCTAGTAGTATTGCCACGAGCTGCTAGTAGCTTCTTGTTTCTAGTAGTAATGCCAGGAGCGACTAGCAGTTTCATGTTCCCTGTACTGATGCCAGGAGCTACTAACAGCTTCTTATTCTTAGCTGTAATGCATGCCAGGAGCTACGAGTAGCTTCTTGTTCCTAGTAGTAATGTCAGGAGCTACTAGTAGCTTCTTGTTTTACTACAAGTTTCTTTGTTCCTAGTAGTAATGCAAGGAGCTACTAATGTGTTTTTGGTCCCAGTAGTATTGCCAAAAGCTACTAGTAGCTTCTTGTTCCAAGTTGTAATGCCAGGAGCTACTAGTAGCCTCTTGTTCCTAGTAGTACTGCCAGGAGCTTCTAGTAGCTTCTTGTTCCTAGTAGTACTGCCAAGAGCTTCTAGTAGCTCTTTGTTCCTAGCAGCAATGTCAGGAGCTACTAGTAGCTTCGTTTTCCTAGTGTTAATGCTGGGGGCTACTAGTAGCTTCTTGTTCCTAGAGAAGCTGCTGGGAGCTTCTTGTTCCAAGTAGTAATGCCAGCAGCTACCAGCAGCTTCTTGTTACCACTAGAAAAGCCAGGAGCTACTTGTAGCTTCTTGTTAGTAGCAGTATTGCCAAGAGCTACTAGTATTTTCTTGCTCCTAGTTGCAATGCCAGGAGCTACTAGTAGCTTCGTTACTACTAGTATTGCGAGGAGGTACTATATAGTAGCTTCTTGTTCCTAGTAGTAGTGAAAGGCGCTACTAGTAGCTTCTTATTCCCAGTACTAATGCCAGTAGATAACTTACTACTGGTAATGCCACCAGCTACTAGTAGTTTCTGGTTCCTAGAAGTAATGCCAGGCCAGGAGTTACTACTTGCTTCTTGTTCCCAGTAGCACTGTCAGGAGCTACTAGTAGCTTCTTCATAGTAGTAGTAATTCCAGGAGCTACTAGTAGCTTCTTGTTACTACCAGTAATGCCAGGAGCTTCTAGTGGCTTCTTGTAACTACTAGTGCTGCACTTGTTCCTAGTAGTTTCTTGCTGGTGGTTGCTGGGGTGTTGCAAATGCAGCTGGTCTTCTGCCCCATCCTCCAAGATCCGATCCATGCAGCTGGTCTCTCTACTAGTAGGGGAACGGTCGATCACAATACCAAACAGTCTCTTGGTGGTCGTACGCTTTCTGAAGCCCCAGCCTGGTTTGTAGGCGTGGCAGGATAGCTGAAAACATGCTACACTTTTACAGTGCAGGAAAACGATCAACCTGTTCATGACCACAGGATGCTCACCTCTTTCAGCACCATCAAGTTTGATTCCTCAATTCACTGCTTACTCTTGATGGGAACTGTGGTGGGACATACAAACCCGTAAATACCGCAATATGTTATATATATACTGTATATATTTCTCTCTCCCCAGCTCGCTCGCGCAGGCAATTCAGGGCCGCCAACTCTCGTTGTCCAGCCCACAAGTGCCTCGTTGTCCATTTTTGTGGATACCACCTGCATTCTGCAAGCGTCTGGGTGCGAACCAAAACTTCCCAAGGTGGTCTTGGACCACGAACCCGTGGGTGTCGTGGCCCAAGGTTGAGTCAAACATGGTCAAACCAATCAACTTTGCAATTCTAATTTGATTCTAATTACTAATAGCTTCTAGCTTCTTGTTTCTCCTAGCAAACATTTTTACTACTAGTAAGGCACTTGTTACTAGAAGCGATGCACTTGTTCCTAGTAGCTTCGTGGTTGGTCCTCCTTTTAAGATACATGGGGTAGTTCATGGCTCACTTTTCCGGGGAAAATTGGCGTCGTGGTCACAGCCGCTGCGAGAACAAAGAAAAGGCGCGGCAACCAATCACATGAAGGGATCCACAAATACCTTAGTCCATCTTAGTCTTAGTCCTCCATTGATTTTGTATAATTTTGTTGATTTGCGTCGTGAACCAACAGCTCTTTCTACCATGGAAGGTGCATGCCAAGCCCTCCCCTCACGAAACCCCCAAGAAACCTGTTGCACGGTCTTCAGCTCGTTTGGCACATCACCTCGCACGTCGGGGACTGAGGTGACCAGCCAGCTCCTCAGATATCCAAAGCTCTCAACGCGGCAGTTCGAGAATGCTCCGACCAGGGCCAACATGCAGTGAAGGCGGAACAAACAAAATAAAATGATCACCTTCTTTTCTCATTCTCGAAGCATCGTCACAGAGAGGGAGGAGTTTGCTAGAAAGATCGCGAAGACCGCGGACACATGCAAAAAGGATTCTAAGGATGCAAAAAGCATCGATGGTTGGGAATGGTTGGACCGTCTAAGTCTACGCAAATATATAGCTGTTTCCCCCGAAATGCAAGCTTTCGAAATTGGACCCAAACATTTTGTCGAAGAAACACTCATCCTTCCCTTCCATGAGAGAAGCATTACTACCCATCCCACCCGAACTGTTCCATCACAGCAGCATCCGCAGTTCTTGGACGGATCCGCGTTCGGGTCCAACGCCTCCGGGTCCAAGAGATGAAACGGACGCATACGCCTCCAGGTCCTAAGGGTCGTGCAGTGAGGCTCCTGTTCGTTGCCAAGACCTGCCTGAGACCCAAAAGAGACGCAACCGAGGCGTCTGCTTCACACGACGCGTACTCGTTCACCAACGGTATGATGTCACCTTTAGTCCATGTAGCTAGTGACGACTTCCAGGCGTTTACAATGCGTGGTCTTCCAATTGTGCTGGATGCAAGGAAGAAGCTCATGGCTACTCTCATGGCTATGGGTCATCAAACTCCACCCTTGCCGACCCGAAACAAAACAGTCCATCACGGGTCAACGGTCCATCCCTTTGACTGGCCTGCAAGGCCATCATCAAGCGTCGAAGGGCCACCTTCATGGAAGGTCTTAAGCCTATTATCAGAACTGCAGGTGAGCATGTCTCGAAATCTGTCAAAACTAAAGCCTCCGAACCTGAAAAGTCAAAGGAACCTGGGGAGTGAACAATGTGAAAAGGAGTGGGAACACCTTGCCTTGGCTCTTCATCAGCGGGTCCAGGGTTTGAGTCACAGCCACAGCAGGAATCCCGCAAATGCTTAGCTTCTAGATGTTTGCTCAGTGGAGGGAGGTTTGGAGACAAACTCTTGCGCTGTCATCAATCCATCCTCTGCAAGTGCTTCATCAACCAAGGTGTCAAGTCCAGCATCAAGGGGGGGGGGTTCCAAGACTTCCCTGCGATGGTTGGCACCGATGAAAAACTAGACGACGAGTGGCCCGAGAGCATTTTTCATCACGTAGGAAGTCAGAGTGCGAGTTATCTGTTAAGTGTGTTATAAGTGTTCAGTGTGAAGTGTTAAGTCGAGTGTGTTGAGGCAGTGTGTGGGTCTCTGTGTGTGTGTGTATCTATGTCTGTGTGTGTATGTGTCTCTCTCTGTATGTCTTTCTGAAGCGCAGGAACACCTGTCTTCTGCAAGTTCTTCACCTCTCGAAAGTCGCCTCCGCGTAGTAAAGTTGTACTACAAAGTCGCCAGTTCTCATCTTCCAGCTCCACAGATTGCTCCGTGTACTAAAGTCCTACTACCAAGTCGCCAGTTATCATCTTCCAGCTCCCCAGATACTCCGCGTACTCAAGTTGTACTACCAAGTCGCCAGTTCTCATCTTCCAGCTCCCCGGATACTCCGCGTACTAATGTTGTACTACCAAGTCACCAGTTCTCATCTTCCCACTCCCCAGATACTCCGCGTACTAAAGTTGTACTACCAAGTCGCCAGTTCTCATCTT